ATAGTTACTATACCCACCTCATTTGAAGATGTATATACCTATACCTTTATCAGTAGGTATGTTTTTATCTTTATTCTTCACGCTTGCCTTAAAGATAGAAGATATTAGTAAATATGTAGATTTATTTCACAAAGCTATTCTAGGAAATGTGCCCAGAATGTCCTCTTTTGCTTTTCCTCTGACAAAAGAATACCTATACCTACCGACTTTGCATCACCTTTTGGTAAGCTGCATGAAGAAGATTATGGCAAACTTTCTTACGTAGAGCAGATGGATGAAAAGATGATTAGGTACTTCCAAAGATATTTTTTCATTTGATAGGTCGGCAAACGAACTGACGGGTTACCTGGATGGTAATTAATCAGCGCCGCCTCTGGGCACAAACACAAGCAACAGGGGAGTTACGAGTGTGTTACCGACCTTTTAAGGGATTTGGAGATTTAGGGAAAGGATTTGGCCCCCTGAAAACACACACACGGCGAAACACAACGCTGTGATTGTTTCACGCCGGTTTTCTGTGAAGCCGTGGTATCACCCCTGTCGAGCCGACCCATTCGTGCCGAATCTCGGGTCTGGTTTTGGTCGGGCGGCGAGCTACCCTCGCCGTCCGCAGAACCGTGTTTAAGGTGGCCGGAAATCATCTCTCGATTCCCGACGCCCGGAAATCATCTCTCGATTCCCGACGCCCGGAATGTCGCCTACTGGGGCGCTAGGAGGATAGTTCCCTCACGCGCTCCTCCTCCTCCTTTGCGAATAGTATTGTACCTAATAACTTACTCTTTTGCGTGTTTCTTGTCAATAAATAAAATAGTATTTCACGAACTTGTAACATCGTACCATCGCGTTTTCACGCTTCAGTGTTCTGCAGTTACAAATTGTTATTGCCTAACAAATCGCAACTTCCTCTAATTAATGAATTACTTATTTGATGACACGTGAACTTATGTATGTAGATATAAATGGACTATCGCGAATTTAATATTACAGATTTATTCACTCATAAAAAGGGATGGGTTTAATTCACCAAACCCTAAGCGAACCCTTGCGTTCGAGCACCTATTATTCTAGGTACTATTGTGTCTCCTCTCGCCCCACGCGAGAAAAGTCACGGATGATTTTCTTTCAAAAAAAACCCAATGTCTTAATTACATTATAATTGGGCAATAGCGATTTCTGATAGAACTTTACATTTTAATCTTAGATCCCTAATCCGTCTGACAAGCGTGGTGATTATGGAGATTACCAGGGGCTGTCAGACTCTTACTGGCTCAAATTTAAACATTAGGCTAAGTTGTAAGACTTATAACATAATTATGAGTGAGCCAGGCTTCGACACGAATCCTTAAATATCCGAAACCTTTATCCCTAAGGCCGGCAAAACACTCGCAACTCTTTTGGTGTTGCGGGTGGCCATAAAAAAACAAGGCTTATCTACACTATTTAAGATACAAAAACGTAATTTTAATTATGTCTAACTACCTATAAACAAACCGTATTTTTTTTGCAATTTAAAATTCGAACGAATGCAAACTAAAATGGCGGTTTTAGTCCCTTGACCCGCCTTCCTCATTACCTTAGTGTTGCCAACAAGGTTGTCTATTGTCCCAGCTAATCAGATCTTTTATTATAAATAACTTTAGCAGGTATAATATGTACTTACGTGGCGTAGAGGTGGTTTTTATATCCGTCCATTGTATGTTTGTTGAACTAAATTAGCTTTTTATTGTCCTTAGTATTAAATTGGATACTTATGTTATATGTACCTAGGTATGTGTAATTTAATATTATTACACATAATGATATCGGTGTGATCTAAATTATTAATTATCTTTTAGTTTTTATTTCATTTACCTACTAACTTTACTTTAAATGTGTTGTTTTAGATTTTTTCATGTAAGTACCTACGTCGGCAAACGTGCCGCCAATGAACTGCCGCAAAACCAGAGAAGCCACGAGTGTGTTACCCGCTTTTTGGGGATAAGGGTTTATTAGATTTAGACATTGAGGAAGGATAGGACTTCTGGTGACTTTACTTACTAGGCGAAATACAACCCTGTGGTTGTTTCAATTCGGTTTTCTGTGAGGCCGTGGTATCACTCCAACCGAAGCTTGGTTCTTGCTTGAATTTTAACTGAATTTTGTTTAGTAATAGGGAGGACCTCGGCATGAATGAGCTGGTGTTGTTGGTTCCATGTCCTTTAGCAGCGAAGTTAATTAGTCAGATCATTTGACACGTAATCATATTAAACAAAAACCTAAGTGCTTTAGTATTTTCTTAATTCTCCTAGCTTAATGGTACTAAATTGAATTTGAATGCACAGTTGACGTTGTGACTGGGCTACCAACTGCCGCGCAACGTGGCGTGGCTTCGAATCGGGATCTGGGTGTGATGTGAGTGTGAACTTGTATATTTGTAAACACACCCACGACACAGAAGAAAATTTTAGTATAGCGCAACGTTTTAAAAACAAACGGATTTTAATGAACTCAATGATGAGGGTCTAACATTTGTCAAGATAGACAATTACGTAGATATGTTTTTTTATTAGAAAGTTAAACTCAAAATGTCATATAATTTGTTTATATTTTAGTGCCTATTATAACATAACGTACATCGTGCTTATGATTCTCTTAAGATAAAGATTGACATGATAAGATACTTAAGTACCTACCTATGGTAAGCTTTGAGAGTAGGTCATTCTTAAAATATATGCAAGTATTTATTATAATCATAAGTAACCAGGTATTTTCGAGAGGTGGGGGGAAGAGGGTCATCCAATGACTTCTCTTCTTCTCTGTCAGGGAGTGTTACTGACTAAAAACCACCCCGTTCCGTCTCTTGCTCTGGGCCAGATCTGCGGTACAGATTGCGTTTGTACCGGCAACACCGGTTGCCTCCTCTAATCCTTTAATCCTCAATCCTCAAATCCCAAACTCGTTCGTGGAAAATCATCAAATGTCTTCATCAAGGCGAGAGAGCTAAAAACCATCAAGGCTGCGGTATATAACTGCGCTTGTATCTGCAATCCTGACCACTTTGGTGTTGGTTGTTTATAAGTGACGGGTGATCAGCCCGTTCGTTTCCTACTCTGTACTATAAACAATTTTAACAACTATCTACAATTGTCTGTAGTTCGAGATTGATGTGATAATAGTTTGTAAACATTAAACAAAATACAAATCCAGTTTTATGGAGTTTTACTTTTCTGTTGTGTCAGATATGTACCTACTTACATAACAAAAAATATTGTTTTGTGCCGCAACTAATATTACTTTGCCGTGCAGTAGCAATGACGTATTATATATAGACACGTCATGAACCAACATCGCGGCGCTTAAAAACGGCGAAAATACTAGATAAGTACTTCTACGAGTAAAGAAAGGGAAAGAAAATATGATATCGTATAGTGGAATGCCTTTGCTAGAGGGAGATAAATATACATCTTCAGTTACATCGGCACGTGACTATACCTTCATGCGCCGGCCGCCATAAGATGGCGGGCGCCGGCGTCGAAAAATAAAATAAAAATAGGTTGTTTGGTGAACTTACGCATGAAATGACACATTTTTGTCTTTAACTTTTGGAGTATAATTTGTACATCGTCTGAACACACACGACGGCATGCTTTCTTTATGTTTCGCACAGGTTTACACACACGATATAAATTAAAAACAAACGTAGCGTCTCGCGGCAGGTTGGTGCGTAACTAAGCGCGATGTTGTCAATTGCCTTCATTTCATGTTGTCATTTTAGAGCGCGGACAACGTATCTATAGATTTATACATCATTGTGCAGTAGGCATTTTTTTACCCAATCATCATAGAAAGTGAACATCTAAGTACTTATGCAGAAAAAATTTAAAAGTTCACACAAGTTCATTTAGTTTAATGAAAATGAAAACTCAACCTGAAATATTTTGATAAAACAATCAAAAATACCTTTCCAATTAACAGTGTTTTCAGTCCTCGTAATAAAACAATGGTTTATGGCATTCGCAATATGAAACTCGTTCCGTGCGAAGCGAAAAACGGAAGTTATTTTAATGAATCCAAATTAAATACATAATTTAATAAGTATGTCCGTATTTCCTTATTTAGTTGGTTATATAACGTCCATAATATTGTCCGTGAAGTGTCGTATATGACAACTTTCTAATTTCACTCGTATTATATCATTTACAACTTTTGTTCTAACACTAACAGTTTCCGTGGTGGTAGCCATGTTGTATAAAATGGCGCGAGATGTTTTCTTTTGGCGCCATTATTAGATTAGTCGCTGAAGCGTTAACATACAGCCTAGAGTAAAAAAGGTTTATAAGGTTATGTAATAGTTGTTAAATAAAATTTTGTGTACTTAATTATTTTATTTAGACGAGTATTTTAGCTTCATTACTTTACTGAAGTGAACTTTCCTTTGCCTATTCAAGTGTGAACTATATTTATATTTTGGTACAAAAATGTGTTAAGAAAATAAATCATCTACGATTGTTTCGTGTTTTATTTTTAAATTACACTATTATTAATCGTTTATGTACAAATTTGTTTTAATATAAAATAACTTAATAAATAATATTAGTTGGAATATTTACAATTTAAAAAACTAATCTATTTTTACATTGATAATATTGCATGACTTGTAACTAAATTTAAATATGAGATTGTATTATTGTATCTTAATATAAAAATAACAATTAATTTAATAGTTTCAGAGAGATCAATAAACTAGCACCACTGAACTCTGAAACTACTGAACTAATTTTGATAAAAAACATCACTTTTAAACACATTGTGTTTGCTCATAAATACAGGCTGAACAAAAATACTATAATCAACTTTAAAAAGAAAGTTTGACATTAAGTCAAAATAAACATTTGTGATTGGTCAGCCATGACACTTAAGTTGAAAATGTAATAACGAAGTGTGATAGCTTGATACGCTGGTGATTAAACATTTTCCCGCTAAAATACGTAGAGCCACAGATTTATTTATCACTAGATAAACTAAACGTTGCTTTGTAAGTGGTCGTAGGAAATGTCGGCGTGGAAGCCATCAGGACCAGCGGAGTATTTGACCTGCTGCAGTCTACCATCAGGTAGGAGTACATGATAGGATCCATGGGTCTTGTCTCCAGATTTAGCCTCTTGGTGACCAAAATCATTGCCAGTTTCGTGATCACGAACTCGGTAACCGAATTCGTAGTTCGCTGCGTATTGGATCTGTAAATAGAAAACGATTCGGATAAGAAAATAGGATTAGATATCTTGAACATGGAGATGGGGAATGTGTCGACTATATACGATCGATGTTTTTTTATTACACGGATAAGAAAGAGTATCTAGAACTAGTGACTTTGAAATGAGGCCTAAAGAGGGCATGTACTTCTCGATAGATGTACCGTTTGGAGTCTGGAGTTAGTCTATTAAGAGGTTCCGGTGTCCCATGCAGGTGTTAACAGTGGCCACCGGGGAGGTTTTAGTTGGGTAAAAATATTTATTTATTTAAACTTCATGCACAATGGGTACATAGGCGGACTTAATGCCTAAGGCATTTTCTACCAGTCAAACCTTGGGTGATGCAGAGATGAGCCAATGGTCGGTGCAAGAAGCAAGCAAACGGCTTAACTTTAAATCTGATAAGCCATACGAGATAGATATATGTGCGTATTATTAACGTACAAGTTACTATAAAAATACCTGTAAAAATACCACATTCACTAGTCTTCTCCCCAAAACCTAGGCGCCTTTTGAAGGTTTAATAAAAAAGTAAGACACTCTTTCTCGCTCCACCTAGAGCTAAAAGTCACTAGATTATTTCCATGAAATTCTGTGCTTATAAGATGGAAGGGTGATGAATTCTATTTATTTGTGAGGTTTTCAGGTACCAAGCAGTCAGAAGCCGTTATAAGGAGAATGATAGCGTCGACTCAGTCGCGTGGCAGTGAAGAGATTCCACCAGTGGCAATAAAGGACAAAGGATCTTGGAGGTCAGTTTAGGGAATTAAGAGTAGAATTCCCTAAGATCGGAAAAGGAGGGTTCTCCGAGCAGGGGAAGCGGTCATGCCTGGCGAGCTACTTCCCAAAGCAAACTTCACTTTTTGCGTGGTGTAGGATTTGTGACGTCATCCGTTGAATGTCAATATTTAATGTGTGTTGCCCAGTGATATCTTCTCTCATAATTTTGTGAAAAGTAGTATGGATGGTTTTCTAATAATTATTAATTTTTTAGTCTTGTCAGAATAAACCGGTTGTTACATCTTTTAAACCGATATACCTATACAATTATGGCGTATATAAGTCAAGTTGAGATTAACCAGCTACGTAAAAGATATTATCGTAGACACGAATAAAAAGAATTCGTTACACAACATATTTTTTCCTTATCCATCTCCTTACTTACATAAAATTTACAAAAAACAACAAAAATGACTTTCATTATTCAAAATCTCGATTACCAATCTCGAATATTTCATACTAACTTATATCTAACACTATCCAAACAAATATTATAACTGCGAAAGTAGGTAACTGTGTCTGTTTGTCTGTCTGTCTTTTCTTCACGCCTAAACTACTGAACAAATTTCTGTGAAATTTGGTACAGACATAGTTTGGAACTCGAGAAAGGACTTAGGATAGTTTTTATATCAAATATCTGCAGGAAGTCACTATTCCACGCGAACGGAGTCGCGGGCAAAAGCTAGTACTATATAAATATGACATAATTCGTTATATCATTTGCCTATATTGGCGTGACGTTGCATTTTTTTGTCATATTCTTGAGTAAGTATATATTTCCTACATTAACTATCAATTGTTTGATTTAGCCAATTTCACTATTGACGCGTGTATGTTAGATGAGATAGAAATTGGATTCTGACTCGACAATTTCTTTCCATTTACATAAAATGTTGTCGGTTCTAAAATTGAGCAATCTTGTGTACTTACAAAACGTCTTTTTTTTTGTCAGGGGAAAATTATCAAATGACTTCTCCCCTTCCCTAGGTAAGGCGAGAGAGAGAGAGAGAGAGAGAGTGTCAGACTCTTACTGACTAATAATCTCCATTCGTTCTCCTGTATCAGGTCGAGGCCGCTTTCCACGTAAACCCGGGTGAACATCAGCCCTGAAGGGCCCCGTCTGTGGTGGTGTATTGGCTCTTTGTAATGTATTTCACAAGTCTTTGCTTTAGCGATAGAAGATTTTATTTGTGTTATTTTGCTTTGTATAAATTCACGACGCCTACGCTCCCACTCCTTTTTTGAAGGGGGAAAATTGTCACATGACTTTTACGCCCTAGGCGAGAGAGAGTGTCAGACTCTTACTGACTAAAAACCACTTCGTTCCTTCTCCTGCTCCAGGCCGGAGCCATTATTGCCCTTGCACCCACGCCTTTGGATGAAAAACCGCTGCTGGATTTAGATTAAAACCTTCTTTAATGACTTCTGGATCTGCTGCTTGTAATCACAGTGCTTCATAAGAATCACCGAGTAACCTCCATTCTAAAATGTTTCTGTCCTATTAATCCTTATTTCTAAGTACTTACTATGAATAGTAAATAAATAACACGTCTAAAATACATCGTATAATTTATTTAAAACATAACAATAATTAAATAATTTATTTATTAAAAATATCACTTTGAACAAAATTTATCTACTTATAGCTTTTTACTTAAATAACTTAAAGTTTATTAAAATTATTGTGGTATGTTGTTCTAATATTTTAGTAGGTATTATTATTAATAACCAAATATCTTTGTACTGATGGATGTATTTTATGCTTACCATTAGAAAACAGTCTTTCTGCCCCATTTTTTTCCCATGCTACCTTTATTTATCCTATCCGTTTATTCTAAATTCATCGCCTTTATAATTTATTGTACCTTATTTCTTTTCAGAATGATAGCATCCAAAAATGCTTTTTGGTACTTTTCTGTGCTTCGTGTAGATATATCAGGTCCAGACTTACCAATTTTATGTATTTGGAAGTAGGCCAATACGCCCATAGAAACGTTGATAAACTAAATATTGAGCTCAAAAATTATGTCTATGTATCTTTATTCGCACACGTAGACACTGCACAGCACTGTGGCTTTTTAGCAAACAATATTCCGTTTGTAACATTTTTAATTTTTAATAATAAATAAACCAAAAATATGGCCGAAAAATATAAATCGTGAATGTGTTTTGACAAGTGTTTGGACTTGATGCTACAGAGCTGCCATCTCACGGGGATACATTTCAGTAAATCCTCATTGGATTTATTGATATTTTGTTTTGTTAGGGTCGTTTTGTATCCAACAAAAAATGGAGTAGGCATTCAAGATCACGGCGTTTCTTTCTCATTTCTGCGTTTTACTATTACTATACCTACGTTCCTTATTATCAATATTGAATTAATTTATGTAACTTACGAAATTTGCCTAATTTATTCGGTCGCCTATTTTGCCTATGTTTCTTATTCCTCCTTGGGTACCTGTGCTTCGGTTTAGTCAGAGATGGGTACTGGAAAACGTCTAAATGCTGTACATTAACATGTCTTTGATTAACAATATCCTTTAATTGAGATTCTGTCAACATGTAGACTGGTTCTAATGAATCTATTAAGCTGGAAACCTCTGGATATTGGGGCTTGTGTGGCCGGAATTGGGACTTAGGAGGTCCATAAGAATGCCCATAACCAGGAGGACCGTAACTATCAGAAGGGGCATAATCGTCGCTAGGATCCGAATGGAAATCATTATAATTGGGATGTTTGAAATTGGAGAAGCGATTCGAAAAGCTGTTTTGCGAATCAAGATTGTGATTGGCAAAATTTCTTGGTCTTGGCGGTCTAGTAAATGTAACTGGACGCTTATAACTGTTTGGTGCTGGGTAATCTAGATCTGGTGGATTGAATTCATAGTCTGAGTCGTAATCACTTTCGTAAGCGTAATCTTTGTTTTCATCCTCATAATAATCATAATCTTTCGCCTCTCCAGCAAATTGAAAGGTTGAATCGAAGTTATTGAATGATCTATAACGTTTCCACTCCTCTGAGTTTGGTAACGTTTCATTTATATCACTTCCTAACGCTATATTATCATTTGAATTACTTACATTACCTTTGAACTCCGTATTATTTAATGATAGGCTAGTAACATTGGCTTTTGAATGATTGCCATTTTGAACTAGAGTTTCGTTACCTAGAATAAATAATGTAGTGTCTAGTTGACGTTTGACTCGTCTTTTTATACTTACATCATCATCACCGTAGGCCGATACCCCAGTTCCATCTTGAGACAAATGCTGAACTCCTGCCTGTTGTGCTTGGAGATATTTGATACCTTCCGTGCTTGCTTCTTGATGGTAAATATTTAAAGGTTTCTCATACTTCACTGCGCCATAACTAGGTTTGTGTTGGACGGGAAATTCAACACCATTCCCATGTAAATTACCACTTATAGTTTGTTCCACTTCTATTTTGTAATAATTACTCTTTGTTGTAGTTGGATCTTCAAACATATGAGGCATAACAGTAGGTGTTTGAGGAATAGGTTGAAATTTTAAATTAGGAACTTTATCTTCTTCTATATCATCAACTTCTTCTGTGATTGGCTTGTGATCATTATAGTTTACATATTCGGTTGCGTACGGTCCTGCATACGCGTTATCTACATTATATTTAATTTTGTTGTCATTGACTATATTCAGTCCGTTAGGGTTATTTAGGTAAAAGTATAAATCGATTGGCGTTTCAAGATTATCTTTCCCATATTCTTGGTTCATGTGAGTTAAAGTATTTAGTTCTGATACTTGTTCCTGTGGGGTTTTAGTAAGGAGATTGTTCAAAGCACTTATGTCATCAGCTGATTGATACGAATGCATTTGATGATACAATTTCGGATAAACGTATTGAGTTTTACTAGGAGATACTTCTGTGTATAAACCTGTCTGTTCTTTTTCTAAGTTATTCAGCCCGATATTCCCATTAGGTTTGATGGTAACTCCTTGATCGTATGTTGTTCCTGGTGATGTGTTAACTTTGTGTTTTGGTTGTACGTTATTATAGTAGACTGATCCATAAGATCTATGATTTCTATTCTTATCTACAGCATCAGCTCTGGTTAATTTGACTGGGTCTAGAGATGGTCTGTTTCTTAGATGTGTTCTTTCTTGTCGTTGTTTGGGTTTCTTTTCTCTTTGTGTGGCTTGCATTTGTTCCAATGCTAATTGATGGTTTTCTTGAGATTCATGGTAAGCTCTCATGTAGCTATCTCCTTGCTGTGGTTGGGCGTTCCACCTTTGTATTTGTGCTCTGTGCTGTCTTATCCTTTCTGCATTGAACATTGCTTGTTGGTGTTGGGCATGTAATTTAGCATTTTGTTGTGAGTTGCCTGCTAGTGGGTTTCCGTATGATAGTGGCCTTTTGTCATCTATTCTGGATTGTTCGTTGATGATCTCGTGAACGGATGGTGCATTGTTCTTAGCTGTTTTCGTTGCTGTGATGTGAAATATAAGTAGTATTGCTGCAGCCTTCATTTGTACTGTGAGCCGCATTTTGTCTGAAACAAAAGACGTTTTTATGTTAATTATTTTATTGGTTTCTTGCTTTCTAAATTGTTTTTTATATTCATATATTTGTTTGTATTAATCAAAGCCGTATAAATACATATTCATTCACAGAATTTGGTATTTTATCTCACAACATAATCAAGAATGTCGAAATTTGGTTCTGGTTTTTTTTCTGGGTCAAGCTTTCTTTGCGACTGCAAAGGCCTTTGGTAAAACCAAAAATACTGAATATATTCTTTTTACCAGTACCTAACATATTTAATTAATCGAATCACCCTTTTACACTATTATTCTTAGCTTATCGATTGTCATCGTCCTTTGCGTGACAATACCCGACAATCCATTGTTTTTTTAGGTCCTGTGTTACGGGATAGGTCAACAAACGAGCAGACCGATCACCTGATGTTCAGCAATCGGTGCCTACCATGAACACCCGCAACATCTGGGAGTTACAAGTGCGTTGCCGGCCTTTTAGGAAGAATACGGTTGTTTCCAACTAGTCAAATTCAATACTTTTATCCAAATGTCAAAAACGATACTTTTCTATGAAAATTGTATGAAACATTGAATTATGACGTCATAGCATTTTTGCGTCAAATAGCTTACTTATTTTTAAAAAATTAGCTAAAAAATATCTAAAACTTAGTGTATCGATCGATCGATGAATAAAAGTATAATTATTTTTCAATATTTTATCCTATTAAAACGTCGAATTAATTTATTTTTGACCTAGGAAACTACCCAATTCTGAGGGTCAGAGAATTGGGTCTTCGTTCGGTAACGTCACTCGTATAGCGAAACAAAGCACAAGAGTTGTTTCACGCCAATCCTCGTAAAGGCCGTGAATTTACTCACTATCTACAGTCACAGTCACAATCACTTCGGTTGAGCTCGGCCATTCGTGGCTTCTTGGCTCTTAGATAAAACACATTGACACCCAAACACAAAAACTTTTTCCAAAAGGAAAAAAAAACATTGCGAATACCTTTTTATTTTGAAAACACTACATCGCCTTCTCAAATTCGAAATAAAACTGTATAAAATATTCTGTTTTAGTTTTATATAAGGTCAAACATAATTTCAACTATGTTTTCACATGTGGTTGCGCCCGCGCAGAATTAAGAAAAGATTTCTCTGTTACACGACACGGGTATTTATAGCAAATGATTTTCAACAAAACTCATACGCTTTATATAAAGGTTTAAACGTTAATTTAGAACTGTATCAAAAAAACATTTAAGTTAGTTATTAGTTTTTTTAAGATATGATAAAAAAAAATGTTTTATATTTCTAAAATGGCTATATTGCATGTAAGTACTTCGTTTAATTAAAATTGGAAGTGTAGTTTATAGATATGATATGACAGAAAATATTAATTTTTAACTTGAAATATCGATTCCATATTACTGTAAGAATCACTACATAGTATAAAACAAAGTCCCGTGGACACCCGCAACACCAAAGGATTCACGAGTGCGTTGCCGGCCTTTTGGGGTTGCGGATATAAGGATCCGGAACGGATAGGGGAAGGGGAGGGATTGGGCCTCCAGTAATCTCACTCACACGGCGAAACACAACACTGTGGGTTGTTTCACGCCGGTATTCTGTGAGGCCGTGGTATCACTCCGGTCAAGCCGACCCATTCGTGCCGAAGCTTGGCTCTCCCACACTTACTAACTACACACTAACTAAGCAACGGATTTTGATGCGATTTTTTATTAGATAGAGTGATTGAAGAGGGCTGGTCTATATACTAGTGACCCAGTAGTACTAATATAAAAGACTAAATTACTTGTACATATATTGCTTGAGAAGGAAATTGGAAAATGTTTCAAATGAGTCCAGTAGTTTCGGAGTTTACATACAGATAGACAAACATATCTATTTTCTTATAATTGATGTAGATTAGATTAACTTCTTTCATGCTCTGTAGTTTCATGCATAATGTATTTTATGACATAATTTGAGATATTTTAGTCGGTTCTGATCTAGTTTCTTTGCTAATGTATATTTATTTTTAAGAATAGCATTACTATAGTTATGTGTTTATACTGGAAGGAGTAATCTTAATAGTTGGCTGCCCGACGTCAACGCTACGCGCCTGCTTCTCATGATTAAGAGTCCCGTTTTGACTCGAAAGTAATAGAGATAGTACATATGTCGCTATTTTTACAAAAAAAATGGATACTAAGTCAAAATTAAAATTTAACACGTTTATTCCAAACATTTTTCAAAAATTGGTCTGACGTCCGTCTGTTCATCAGTGTAGTTAGGTTTTCATTCTACAATGTTATTTATGTCATTCACATCATTACCAAATAATATAGCAAAATGTCACGCAGTTTGGGCTTCTGTGCTCTAAAGCATCATCATCAGCCTATAAGTGACCACTGCTGAGCAAAGGCCTTTTCTCACACGGATCAGATTTGAGCATTAATGAAAACGCCTGCTCAAGTCTTTAAGTGTGGGAGAGCCATACTTCGGCACGAATGGGTCGGCTCGACCGGAGTGATACCACGGCCTCACAGAAGACCGGCGTGAAATAACCACTGCGTTGTGTTTCGCCGTGTGAGTGAGGTTACCGGAGGCCCAATCCTTCCCCTTCCCCAATCCCTCCTCAATCCCTAAATCTCCAAATCCCCAATCCCTAAAAGGTCGGCAACGCACTCGTAACTCCTCCGTTGCGAGTGTACATGGGCGGCGCTGATTGCTTACCATCAGGTAATCCGTCTGCTCGTTTGCCGAGCTATTACATAAAAAAAAAGTGGGATTGTTTCCAAGACAAGTCTAGGTTCACTTCATGTATGCCAACGGTGTCCAAATAATCATGATGAAATACATAATTATGACTTAAAAAAGCGTTTTGGTTCTTGCTAAGTTTCGAATTTGCAGCCTAATGAATCAGAATCGAGCGCCGTAACGTCCAGGCCACCACGACGTTAGTTCACGATGGTAAATAAATGCTTCGCTCGACCCAGATATCGTATCCGAGACCTTGCTCAGTACTGGTTCACACTATTACACGACCAACGGGGCAGTGTAACACTTTATTTTATTCCGGTTTTCTTGTTTATAAATATTTATTATTTATTTTGAATGCCTATGAATATTGAATAAATAGTTGATATTATTTTGCTAGCCGTTGTCATTGGTCTAGCCGTACACGCGCAATACCACGACAAAGGAAACATGTTTTGGCGTGTGAGTAGGGTTACTATTCTTGCTAATTCTTGTTCACTTCCAATTCCCAAATCTCCGATATCCTAATCTCTAAAAGGACGACAACGCACTCGAAATTCCTTTACGAGCCTATGGTGTTCATCTAAAATTCATCAGCTCTTTGCGGTCCTATCAAATAAAAAATAAAAAACCATATTAAATGCAAAAAAGGGTTCAAGTTAACTTATTTTGCAATAAATATTTCATATTATATCAAAGTTTTTAATTCAATTAAACGAGTTGATACTCAGAATTGTACTCAGATAGATTTTATTTAGACACGACAGAAAAGGTTTCTCCCCAGGGTCTGGTGTGAAGAAAAAATCGTGTATGTCTCTCATTCATTATTTACACATTTCTTGGAAAAATGTAATAACCTGTAACTATAAAAAAGCCTACAGCCTTAGTTCATGGAATCGATTTTAATTAAGAGTTTTAATTCTTAATTGTGTACCATTACTTAACGCAGTGGTCGTTAAAAAATATATTTGCTCCATTCGCTCCACGAGAAGCGAATAAAGAGCCAATTTACTTTTTTTAGTTTTTTTTTTATGTGATTGGTCGGCAACCGAGCCGTTGGATTATCTGAGGATAAGCACTCAGCGCCAGCTATGGACACCAGATGAGTGGAGAGTGCATTGCCGACCTTTTGGGGATAAGGGATTTGGAGATTTTGGGATGGGAAGGTTGTGGTTGTTTCACGCTGGTTTTCTGTGAGGCCGTGGTATCGTTCCGGTGCCGAAGCATGGCTCTTTCAAACTTATGGTAGGTGATCAGCGTCGTTCATGGACACCTGCACCAGAGGATCACGTCATAATCGTTGCGAATCGAATTTTAGTGAATGATCGAATTAAATAAATCGAATGCTTCAATGCGTTTTATTTTTAAGCCTTCTGTTTCGAAGTGTACTGTTTACCATAGGCGCAATGACCATGGCCAATGATTTCACTTTCCCTGACCGCTGTGCATACAGACAGACATACATACGTCTACATATACACAAAACCAGTTGAGATCTCCGTCCGTTGAAAACATACGGATGAATCTATGGTACGGATACGTCGTTAAAAGTTGTCTATGAAAGTGTTTGATTAGTTTTTTCCCGAAGTTTAATTCTTCCTAAAACAACTAGAATGTAATAGGCTGTTCGGATTATTAAGTTTGGATGTATGTATACCTAAATATTACTGAATGGATTTGGATGAGAGTTAGCACAAAGATAGATTGTATCTAGTCTGGAATCAACTTCTAAATCATTTATTCCGTCTAAACCCTAATCCCCAAAAGGTCGGAAATGTACTCGTGACTCCAATGCCGTTGCGGGTGTCCATTGGCGGCGCTGATTGCTTACCATCAGGTAATCGGTATGCTCGTTCAACGTCCTATATCACATAAAAAAACCATAAATACCTACTTTCGAACAACAAAATATATTTAAAAAGTCCGTCAGTCCGTTCGTCAGTGATGTAAAGTGCTCATTCCAAGGTGTAGATTTAAATGGAGAAGAACGAGCAAGAAACTACAAAATCACGTAGGTAGGCTACTTTTCATCCGACTAACGGGAGCAAAGCCATTGGCAGAACCTTCTTCAATATACCGTCGCATTTTTTTCTTGAAGGCGTAATATGTCATCGTATGTTTCCTCTCGCCCTGGATGTGGGAAGGATAGTCAGACTCTTATTGACTGCTAGCTACTCTCGCTCGGTTTCACCCGCTGCACGGCTCCATTTAATCGTAGCGTGATGTTTTATAGCCTATAGCACTCAGGAACAATGTAGCTATCTATCAGTGAAAGAATTTTTGCAATACGACCATTGGTTCCAAAGATTACCCCCTACATACAAACTTTACCTCTTTATAATATTAGTATAGATTACCCGCCACATAAAAACTTACAAACATACGAACTTACAAACTTAAAAACTTTACTTCTTTATAATATTAGTATAGATAACCACCCCGATCCTTCTCCTGCTTGGAGCCGAGGCCGCGGTACATAACTTTAACCCGCAACTTCGGCTATGCCTTCATATTCAATAGACATTTGAACACATAAGTAGTTGGAAAAAAGTTGTAGTCATAGGTAAAATATATAATAGATAAATCTATTCAACACAGCTTTGTGCTCAGCTCAGCTGAGTTATAAAATACATAATTTTATTTCCAAACAAAATTTACAATGACAGTTTTAGAACGTGCCCGCGCATAATTATCACTCGTATGTTTCCATTGACGTGCGGTATTGAAGTTATAAAATATTATAGTATTGCACACAGGTTAAGCTACACTTGCTTAGGTTATTTTTTGGATGGGACACAATTGTATTTTTTTATGAGGTAGACGGTAAACGTGTGCTCGTTTCACATCTTGATGGAGTCTGTCGAAGCTAAAGGAGTAAAAAGTGCGTTGCCAGCTCATTGGGGATTAGGTGTTGAGGGAATTGGAGATTGGGAATGTTGAGAGCGGGGTTAGGCCTCCGGTAACCTCACGGCGAATCACAATGTAAGCGTTGTTTTACGTGAGTTAGCCTGTTTTGTGTGGGGCCGTGGTATTACCTACTCCGGTCTAGCCAGCCCATTCATGCTAAAGCAATGGCTCTCAAAAATCGATTCTGTTTCGAGTTCTATTATGTATTCTTGATCAGGATAATTGTGGGAGAGACAAGCTTTGGCACAAATGGTTCGGCTCGACTGGACTGATACTACGGCCTCACAGAAAGCCCACGTGAAACAATAACAGCGTAATGTTACAACGGGTGATTGAGGTTAGCGGAGGTCCAATCCCTCTGATCCCCTATCTCTCCCCAATCCCCAAATCTCCGAAACCCTATCCCAAAAGGCCGGCAACGCACTCGTAACTAGTTTCGGGAAAACTTGCTACGGCTTGACACGAGTGAAGCCGAGCAAAAGCTACTTATTTTTTTTTATAGCCTATTGTGTGTCACACTGCTGGGCAAAGGCCTCCCCTTTTTCCTTCCAAACTTCTCTGTCTAGAGCGATCTCCGGCCAAGTTTGCCCCGCGAACCTGATCAGATCGTCACACCACCTTCGCCGTGGTCGACCTCGACGGCGTCGACCTCCTTCAGGTGTCCAGTGAGTTACAACCTTCGCCCATCTGTCCGGGTGTATTCGTGTTAGTTGCTAACATAAGCTAGTTAATATATACAAATAATTTATAGATATGTATTGATTTATTAAACCGTCTTGAGTAACATCCCGACAAATCTTTAAATGAACTAACTCTTTACTAATTAAATTACCATAAGTAATTAAAAACTTGCGAAAATCATGTCAAACTTATTTCATATTTAGCAATCGATAAACTGCTAATGATTTTATTTAATTAACTTTAATTGCCTTTGATTGATCATATCTTATTTATATGTAAAAATCTTAGAACTTAAAACCTAAGTATATTCATCACATTTTCTGGTCGGATTTTATTAACTTATTTTTTTATGAAGGGAAGGTCATAAAATGATTTTTCTCGTCGAGTGTAAATTTTTTTTTGACTAAAACTCCCTCTTTCCTTTTATTACTCTAGGCCGAGGCCGCGGGATTGCGGGACAACCCCGGCTGAACATCAGCCCTATAGGGCCCCGTCTGTGGTGGTCTACTGGCTCTTTGAAGAGCGCGTGGACCGCTACGCGCTGTACGCTCGGATTCTGGTCGGACGGCGAGCTACCCTTACTCACCGTCTGTGTACGTGCATACGTTTACGATGGCCGGTTGGTGGTAGCCAAAAGTTGAGGAATATCCACTGTTGGCCATAACACATTGTGGTGGCGGAGGCAAACCTGACGGAGATCTGCGCCACCCACCTAAAGACACATGGACATCTCGAACACCAGAGAAGCCACAGGCGCGCTGCCAGCCTTTTTTTTTAAATCTAATAAAGGTTCTCTCGGATACGAGGCGTTCTGGCAAACGTTGTATAATATTAATACGCTAGAAATATAGCTACATATTATCAAAGCACCAACATATTAAATGACTTTCTGTAACCTATTAGAGTTTGCTAATATTAAAGCCTAGTTCTCAGCTAAGAATATTGCTAAACTTATTATGTATTAACGACATGTTTTAGTATTTGCATAACACCTTTAATTCCCTTTAATCACAGGGTAAATAGAGGCGCAATTACATAATCTTAATTACGTGGGTAATTAGTTATATACACTTTTCTTCTGTTCTGTTGTAGTTTATTCAAATTAGAGGTAATTTTGAAGACTGAAAATATGTAACCTAATTTGCCCTTATCATCATCATTAGCTTACAAGTGCCCAATCGATCAAAGGCCTATTCTCATACGAAGGCCTTTGCTCAGCAGGCTGATGATGGTGCTGCTGGTGAAGAGTCTAAAACCTTTCGCCACACCAAGGGTGAGCTCTCATTTGATGACAGAAGATGAAAGCCGATTAAAATAGTAGCTTGTAGCCATAATGAAATCAATAACACTTCCAAATACATAAAATTTTACTAAAATAATAATAACGTTCGGTAAGAATCTGTGCTATCTGAAAGCTGTTTGAACCTGACGTCTACGAAGCGCCGCCTGGCGGCAGAAAAGTTATCGAAAACCCTCATTCCCTACCTCCTAAAACAAAAGCTTGAACGTCATCGTAGCAAAACCTATTTTTGCTTTAAAATTCTCAATTTCTATTGTGACGTCACATCATTCTGACGTCATATGCCATCGACCTCCGCGTGAAATCGATACAGTCGCGTAGAAAAGTTCAAAGTTACAAAACACAAGTTATTTTATAAAGACTTACGTACGTAAGTATCAGAAGAAATGTTACAATCGTGATGAGATGAACTAACAGCTCTCACGAACTCCACTTTCAATTGCATTTTTTGTTGCGACTGTACCGAGTTACCGATTACGAGTAACGAGTACACGGTGCGATAATCGATGTGGTTTTAAACATCGATAAATTGAGTATCGAGAAGTAATGACTTTGCGTTTTAATTCTGTCTTTACCACTTATTACGTAAATCAGGCAATATTTGTTCATTTGCGGTGCTACGTTCTCGAAAATTGCTTTAGCGATATTGGTAATACGTTTAATATAGAGTGCCGCTAGTTTCTTTTTGTATAGGGCTTGCATACATTACATCTCACATAAAGTTTAAAAAAAAGCTTTTTTTATTCGATAGCATTTTGTTTTATTTTTAACCGACTTCAAAAAAAGGAGGAGGTTCTCAATTCGATTGTATTTTTTTTTTTTTTTTTTATTTTTTTTTTTTATGTTTGTTACCTCAGAACTCCGTCGTTTATGGACGGATTTGCAAATTTTTTTTCAAAATTGAGTTTTGATGATGGGATCCATGAGAAATCGAGGGAACTCCTCAAATATTATAGGCAACTATATAGTAATTTTAATATTTTCATAGAGCACTCAAGCATTTACAGTCAAAAAGTAATATTTGATGGGGTGGAACTGGTGAAGAAGATCAGAAATGGGTGATGAAACTTGACACTCGCATAGATATCACAATCAAGGTAGTTCAGCAACTATGAAAATGCACTGTAAACCAATGATCTTAAATAATTATGTTGGAAATGTTATCATCGAACTGATTTAATGATGATTATGGAGCTGGAAGGTAGGCACTGGAACTGCGTACCTAATTAATATATCCTAGCCGTGTTTGGGCTTGTTAGAATTGTTATAAGATGCACTTTGGCTGTAAGGTACTATTGAACTGATGTGATGATGAAGCTGGATGGTTGGCATGGGGCCTAGTATTGTGTAAGCTTATTAGAGCTGTCAAGAGCAATGGAAAGGGCTATGCTCATAGTTTCCGTGCATGTTCGAATCAGAAATGAAGAAATCCGCAGAAGAACCAGCGTCACCGACATAGCCCGAAGAAATGCCAAACTTAAGTGACAGTGGGCACGGCACATTGCTCGTAGAACAGTTGGCCGATGGGGCCGAAAGGTTCTAGAGCGGGACCGCACACCTTTGGGGGCGGAGTTTGGCCTAGTATTGGCTATTTTGCATTAGTCCACGTGGACTGCGTTTACACATTACTGGTGAAATGCGTCATTGTGTTCTTATCGTTTTCCTGGTAATAGGCTAAGAGAATTCATTGGCATTTTTAACAAAACAGTCGTTTTAAATGGGTTACAAAACAATAATTGCGTCGTACAAAACAATAATTGTGTTTCTTTTGTGTGCACATATGTAGATAATACTTACTTAAAAAAGGTTCATACATTGAATGACTCATAAATGTATATTTACAATAGCGATGGTCTTTTGTATTTTTACCAACTTGTCTATATATGAATGTTCTTAGTAATAACAAAATAGTATTCTTCATTTAATGGGTTACAATTGATACAAAACAATAATTGCATCGGTCTTTTTTCTATGTACGAATGTATTTAATCATAGATACTAAATTAGATTGCATTTGGTATCTTTGAACTTTATCTGTCTGTTGATGAAAATATCTAGTTTTTTGTTATTTGGCGAGAACTAATATGAATTTATGATAAGATTATTATTTTTTTAACTATAAGTCATAAGTATCTCATGCATCATATCATCTCTCCTCGAGATCAAAACGATTACACAGTAACAATGTACTATGATATGTATTTCTACGTATAAGTATGACATTGGTAACTTTTTCAAAAGAAATGTAGGAACGATATTGACTTCTTTGCCATAACACATTATAATAAAAAAAAACACTAAACGGCTACAAATAAAAAAAAAATTTACAAAATAAAAAAACCGCCTTCAAAAAAAGTCAAGCAATAAAAGTTCCTACACTAAAAAGTAAAAAATAACAATTTGAATTACTGTAAAAAAACTTAGTTTATAGGTAAACTTATTTGACATTAATATTTTGCAAATATTCAAAATTTATTACTTATTTTTGGAGTCGGTGCCAGCCCATGCAAGGAAATACAAATGGGCAACAATCCCTTGAAAAACTACCTCTTACTTAATTATAAAACTACTTAATACCTATTTGCATACTCAAATATAGGTATATTAATTAAGACATAAATACAGATTAGACTTCTCTACAAAAAATGTCCGATTTGCACATTTTTTTTAAATAAAAAATATATACTTACAAAAACATTCTAAGTACATTGAAAATGTTTAAGCATTATGTACGAAAAATGGCACCGGATATTAAAAAGCTAACTAACATTAAGTTTCAACATTAAAATGCTGGCACCGACTCCAAAAATAAGTAATAAATTTTGAATATTTGCAAAATATTAATGTCAAATAAGTTTACCTATAAACTAAGTTTTTTTACAGTAATTCAAATTGTTATTTATATGTATGTAAGGTCGACAAATGAGGAGACGAATTACCTGATGGTAAGCAATTTTGTCTTATTCAAGGACTATTATTTACTAGCGGAATATGCCAGTTTCTAACTATTTATTGAAATGTCAAAAACCATACTTTTCTATGGATTTTGTACAAAATCGCAAAATATGCTATTTTTAAAAAATCAACTAGAAAAATCTTAAATTACATATAGCGGCAAATTTATGAATGAAAATATAATTGTTATTTAAATTCCTAACTTTTTATACCTACTGAATAGTCATAATAATTCATTGTTGACCTAGAAAACTACCCAATTGTGGGCGGAATTGTCAGTGTTTAGGTAAGGGCATATAAATCTTATGAACTAAGTCTAGAAATCTAGACATTTAGCCATCAGAACCTTAAGCCACGATTTGCCGTGAAATTATTCACGATTCGTGGCGTCCATTCACTTGTAAAGGACAACCATTCAGTATAAATAAATAAAATACATTCTATAGTAAAATATCATCATAGACCAAGGTGCCTTTTAGACTTAACTTCAGAACTTCGTGACTATTTTCATACGATTTTGTACTGTGACTTTATATGAAGGCGCTAATCTGAGGAACTACTGGTTCCATTTCAAAATCGCGAGGTTATTGAAGAAGGCTAATCATTACATAGTATAGAACAAAATCGCTTTCTCTCTCCATATATCCCTATGTATGCTTAAATCTTTAAAACTACGCAACGTATTTTGATGCGACTTTTAAAAGATCTAGAGCGATTGAAGCGGACGGTTAGTTTGTAAAATAAAAACCATTAAATAGTGGCGAATTTTAGTATCAGCAGCGTACCCATGCTAAGCCGGGTGGGTTTTATTATAGGCTCCAAAACATCACGCTACGATTATTGCAAAAAGAACAGCGATTGGAAATCACTTTCAAAATCTAGTTTAAAATATTTGGTAGTAAGAATAACATGAAGGCTTAAATTATTTTAGACGCGCACGCTGCTAATTTTTCAGAGTCCCGTGTTGCCTTGAAACTGGTAGAGCTTTTCTCAGTTAATTCATGTAAGTCGCGTATAAGCGTATATCTACTAGACTAATTTTGGAAATTCCTTTTTCAGTCACTTTCCTGTGTCAGTAAGAGGTTTATATGAAAGAAAATTCTAGAAAAGTAGAGAAGAAAATTGGCAAATAGCAATCCTATTATCGTTAGCGAGGTAGTTGTACACCTAGTTTTGATTAAATTTAATACGTCTCACATGATAGTTTCTAAACAAAAATTAACGCCTAAGCTGACCTCTGCAAAGAAAAAGTATGGTTGTTTCATAGCGTAAAGAATCACAATGCTTCCATAGACAACAAAGAATTCTTCCTGCACTGTCTATTATTAGATTTGACAACATGACCAAGCACGTTTACTGTCGCATTGTTAAGTCTCGACTGAGTTCCGGATTGAGTCGACATTTCATACATAATACCTATTATAGTCTTATATTAAGATACTATTATCGATTTAATTGTTAATGTTGCTAATGATAGTCATTCTGAAGATATTGAATCGGTAAACTCCTTTGTCATAATAATTTTTTAGGCACCCACGAAACATGAGAGTGTCGTAGTGTTCTTTTTTGATGGGGGGATAATCTTCAAATGTTTTCTCCCACTCCTTTGTTTTTAATTCAAGACATCGAATTAGTTCTCTGTTAAAACAAAGCTTAATTAAGGCATCCACGAGACACGAGAAAATCGTAGTGTTAGCTCTCTGGGTGGGACGAGAGGAAGTGTCAGACTTTTATAGATCACTCGATTATCAATCAATCCTCTACCTTCGTTCTTTTTCCTTCTCCGAGCCACCCCATTGAAGACGCTGGCAGAAACTTTGCTAGAGTTGATCGATTACTATCAGGTGACTCGGTTGCAGCCCAGTCTCATAAAACAACTAAAGAACATTACTTTTTTGTATCCAAGTATCAAGTTGACTAGGCATACACGAAATAGTTTAACATTGTTCAATTTTGACATAAACAATTAATGTTACTGTAGGTCTAAGTATGATATAGGTGCAGGATTGGATCTGGTAACCTCACTCATAATTATAGCGAAACACAACGCTGTGGTTGTTTTACGCCGGTGGTATCACTTTGGTCGAGCTGGCCCATTCGCCCACAAGCACGGTACTCCAAAATTTGAAAAAGTAAAAATCTACTAAAAGTTATTCAGTATACGATGCACTAGCTTTGGAATTGGTGGAATTTTATATTTGCATATTCGTCGCAACATATTACCCTGTTTTAAACGAGGCACAGTGCCATCTATCACTGAACTGGTATGAAGCTAACAATAGTTTTATTTTTCCTCGGATATATAATTAATTTCTGGGATAAAAAAAGTGTATTATTATTTAATCCAGACTTCCAACTGTACGTTTGCAAAATTTCAAAGCAATCGGTTCAGTAGTTACGGCGTTAAAGTGGAACAAACAAACAAACAAACTCACTTTCCGATTTATAATATTATTAGTAAGGATTGTTCTTAGTTTCGAGTTACAATGTGACAGTGACATAAGATGGTTGCCGGAGTCTTCGCATAAATGACGGGAAAGTCACGCCTTTGTTAAAATGGGATGAGCAGAGGCGCTAGTTTTACGTAACTTTTATGTCTTTTGTAGTAGATATTTTTGTGTAAAGAGTTTCTTTTTTCAAAAGTAATCGGTAGAGAATTAGAAAAAAGAGTTTCTTTACATAATTTCTTTGGTAAAAAAAATTAATTGTTTTCATTTTTTTATTTAGATTTTTATAAGTAATATTAATTCATCAATTTTATTTTAATTTATTTTTAGAATATTAATTAATCAATTGACAATATTAAAAAACCTCGAATTCATTATCATAACATTAATTACTATTGGTTAGATGATTTATTGTTATTTAATTCTGATTAGCTAAATTTATTGTTAACACATTTTATTGATAGCTTAAAGCTGGTTATGCTAAGCATTATTTCGATACAATCTCTTTAAAAATTCATAAAAGAAAATAATATAATAATTATTTACACGAATCTATAACATAAGTTTATTTTAATGCATGGATTTTATAAAGTGACTTCTTCTGCAGTGTGCTTCTGTAAAACTTCATTCCAAACTTCTGAATCAGAATCTGAATCCGCTGTGAGTAGTAGTACACTAGCGCTACACTTGCGAGTTGAACTAAATTGACAGCAACATTTTGATAGATGACGTTAAAAGTGGCATTCTATAATGTAATTTTTCCGTCACTTCGACGCTCACTTCACACTCGAACAAGAATCAAAATTAAACAAATTTTATAGAACCGACGTGCCCCCCCCCCCCCGCTAGGTGGGGCGAGTATCAGACTCTTACCCTTATTACAAAACTAGATTTATCTGTAGTCTAGATTTAAACCATTGAGTCAGGTTTTGTATTTCGATTCCTCTTTCACCTACCTTCAATGTGAAATAAAAAAAATGACTGACTTGACTGCACGGTTGGTGCGGTGGCTAAGCAAGCTGGCTGGCAGTGTCGCGTGTTAGATTCCCGCACGGAACAACTCTTTGTGTGATCCACAAACTGTTGTTCCGAGTCTGGGTGTGATGTGTGAAATTGTATGTTTGTTAACGCACTCATGACACAACAAAAAATCCTTGTGCAGGTAAAGATTTTTTTTTAAAAGGAGGAAAAACAGCTGGTTCAATTGTTTTGACCTAGTTTTGTAATTACATACTAAAAGCTACCCCATGCCTCAAAGAGCCAATAGACCACCACAGACGGGGCCCTAGAGGGCTGATGTTCAGCCGGGGCTGCGGGGTAATGAGGCACCGTGACCTCGGCCCAGAGCAGGAGAAGGAACAGGGGGGTTTTTAGTCAGTAAGAGTCTGACACTCCCTCCCGCCCGAACCTGGGCGGGAGAAGTCATTTGATGATTTTCCCCTTACAAAAAAAAACCAAATTCCTTGTCCTGCTTAGAGCTGAACAGCTATAAGAAAAAGCTAAGATATATAACAGTCAGCATAATTACACTTTGCACAATTTCCGTCATGTTATGGTTAATTGAAGTCGGTTTTATTACATTGAACTTAACATACCTAACACATTATAACCTAGTAACTACATGTTATGTTATTTTATTGCTATTTTGAACTAGATTTTTTATTAGGGTTGTCACTTTAATCTTTCTGAACTGGATTTGTTTGTGGTATTATCTCTTTTTGAATGGTTTGCCCATTGACTACTGAACCGGCTGCTACGCAACGCATCGCAGCCGTAATTCGTAATACGGCTTCAATTAAAAAATTAAGCTACTTGATCTCAATTAAATTCAACATTTCGATTTACGGTATTTTTACATTAGATCATTTGGTTTTCGAAAGTTGTAAAAAATGGTGATACATTTTTATAGCACGAGATTTTATTATTTCTTATAGAATTTTAAATATACTAAATATTACGTAGTTATTACAAAAATAACCTACTTGTTAATTTTAACAGCAGGTACTTAATTTATTAACTTAGTTATTAATAGAAGTGAAATTTATTGATAAGAGTGATTTTATAAATAATTAAAGATACCAAAAGAATGAACTTTAATTACAAAGTAAAAACACATATACAAATGTATAAAAAATCAAAAACCGTATCGCGACAGCCCTACTAAACTAAAAAACGAATGACACGCGTCGTGCGTGACGTAACGGCCGGAAATGATGTCATGACGTAATTTTAATGGCCGCTTCACTTCCGGCGCCATCTTAGTAAAGAATCTCACTTCATTTTGAATTACTCTCAGGATTCTGTTATTGCACAATTGTTGTGCACATAAGTACTTGTTTGAAATGCCAATGAGATTTGAAATTATAATGCCTAGCTGCATACTAGTTACCTACTTATGTAGTTATATCATGTTGTACCCCGATTTTCGATTTTATCGTTTTACAAAATTTGAATTTTGAGAGTAGGTTAGTTTCCTACGAATGTTATAATGAATTACTGGCTTAAATTAACTGAGAAAAGCTTCACTGGTGTCACACTTCGGCACTAATAGGTCGGCTCGACCAAAGTCATACTAGCCTCACAGAACACTGGCGTGAATCAACCACAGCTTTGTGTGCGAATGAGGTTGCCAGAGGCCTACATCTTTCTTACAATAATCGTCACAGGGAGCTTCCGACTATTCACTAGCAAGCACTATCAAGCAAGCACTATCGCTGGTCAGGATGCTATGAGCGTAATCATCCCTGAAAAGATTTCTAAGAGATCTTCTTTTATTTTCTTTCATCAAGCAAGAGACACATATTTGTGAATTTTAGACTTTTTCAATTTCTTAAGCGGAGATTGGAATTAGTCTCGCCCTAAATGGCTTGAAATAGCAAATCTTAATTTAACTGCAGAATTTCGATTGAAATACCAATTAATATTTTCTTATTGCAACATTTCCTTGATATAAAATTTCGATTTATTAATATACGTTCTAAATGTAAATAGTATTCGTGTATTTATTTACAATAACAAGCTTTTAGCTAAGCGTGAGAACATTATATATTAATTTATACATAGTTCTATGCATATTAAGTGATTAAAAAGTAAATAGTTCGGTGCAATTTATTTACGAATATGACTCAATTTTGCTTTGGTAATGATAAGATATCAAGCTCCTTCAAAATTGATTTATAATATGTTTTGTATTTTTTAAAGTAAGTACCCACATAAATCATCCGATATCAGGAAAGAGAATCAGTAGGCCTACCATGACGTTAATTATTATGTTTTAGGCTTACTCACCTAATTCTTTTGACGAGAATACTCGACTAGTTTCAAGCTATGCTAGACCCGAATAGCCAGTAGCAGCGCGACAGTCGCCGCATCGCGTGTCGCGGAATGCTGCTCATGAATATGAGCCTCTAGCATGGCAAAACTATTACGTGAGTAAGCCGAAAACATACTAATTAATTTAGTATGTCTACCATGATGTGTTAAAGCGTCAACCTTCCGGGTGAGAAAGAGGGATGGTCATGGTGGGCTCTCTGGATTGTGGATCGTTTTGGTTTTAAAATATTATATTTACTTTTACCCAGGTCGACGCAAACCTTGTTCTTATTTTTTTTTTGTTATTTTTTCGAGGTTCGTATATCATCTAATAGTGTTCTCAACTTAGGTGGGGCGAGTGCAACTGTATATAAGACTCTTACTGGCCAAAGATCCGTTCCTTCTCCTGCATTAGACCGAGGCCTTTTTGTGGTTGCCTCGGAACCGAAAAATGCAATTTTATAGCAGCCCAAACAAAATGGAAAAAAAATATATTACGAAAAATATACTCCTAATTCACTTAAGTTCGTAAAAAAGTAAAAAATATTATTATACTATTAGACCACAAAAAGGCATGTTCGTTAGTGAAGTTACGTTTGTGCAATTCTTACAATTAAAGTTCATAATTACCTCTTTAATTAACTATTACATACATTAATGAGCAATAAAATAACCGCAAGTTGACATTTTATGTAAAACCTTGTAATAAATCGGTCGAGGCTTCACTGTCAGGGATTATTCATAATTCCTCATAATTACACGCACATAAACTCGTACGACTAACTCGAGCAAAATTTGCAGAGCGCCATTTTGAATATTAATACAACTAAAAACCAAGTGCGTCCTCTCGCATCTGTTTAGCACCATCTTGTCTTGTGCTGATCTTTGTATCTCGATAATTCAGAATAAAAAACACAGAAAATTGCACTGCTTAGTTTCACAAAATTAGTTTTTAGGGTTATAAGGTCCAGGGGGAGGGTTGGGGGTTAAGCGTAGTAAAGATCTACGACTTCAGGAGGGAGCAGGAAAAAAACGTGGTGGTTTTTAATCAGTAAGAGTCTGACACTCCCTTCTCGACTTCGAAAGGGTGTCGACTTCGAGTGGAAGGGAGGAGTGGGGAAGGATGATTTTCCCCTCACAAAAAAAACAGTTTGTTGTACGAGGTAGAGAAGGTTTTGCGAAAATCGCTCAATTGTGCCACAATTGACAAACCCATATGATAGGGATGGTACTGCCGTCGACTGATCAATCCAAAAAGTCTGACTGCACGGTTGGTGCGGTGGCTGGGCAACTGACTCTTTGTGTGATCCACAAATTGTTGTTCCGGGTCTGGGTGTGATGTGAGATGTGGATTTGTATGTTTGTAAACGCACAGGAGAAAATCCTAGTGTGGGGCAACGTTTTAATAAAAATAAAACACAAAACAAAAACATTTCTAAAAGCAATTTCCATGTTTGGATAATGTTTCCGCTGACAATCTGACCGAAGCCCTACGTGGCAGCAAGGATGCGCTTCTTTAAATTCTATGTATCGAGCGAAAGTTGTACGCCTTGGGCGACTCCCGTTGCACCGCGGCTGCGTTTGTGCAATAAAATGTTCCTACGTTTATTGTAAACAATAAAATTTTAATGCATTACTTACATATGTAATTTTCTTATTGGTTCAGTGGTTTAAAGTCTTCTTATTGTCGTTACTGGAGTCGGTAAGACTTAAAATTTGTTCTTAAGTCTGTTGCCAATTTTATTTAGATAAATGTATTTAATATAATTTAAGATAAGTGTGGCACGAATGGGTCGGCTCGACCGGAGTGATGTCACGGCTTCACAGAAAACCGGCGTGAAACAACCACAGCGTTGTGTTTCGCTGTATGAGTGAGGTTACCGGAGGCCTAATCCTTCCCCTTCCTAATCCCTAAATCTCCGAAACCCTAATCCCTAAAAGGTCGGCAACGCACTCGTTAGCGTTACTCCTCCGTCGCGGGTGTCCATTGGCGGCGCTGATTGCTTACCATCAGTTTATCAGTCTGCTCGTTTGCCGACCTATTACCGTACATAAAAAAGAGATTAAGTAGTATTTCATCGGCCTATCCCTTAGGTACACTTCACCGAAGCTTAATTTTATCATCATCATCATCATCAGCCTATAAGTGCCTACTGCTGTGCAAAGGCCTCTTCTCACACGGAGCCTTCTCCGTGTGAGTTAATTGAGTTAATTTACTTAAACTTTATTTAAATGAAATATATAACATACATTTCTTAATTAAATGATCTTATCTTGCAAACATATTACACTCTTACCTACTTCATAGAAAGATTAATTTAATAAATATTTCGAAAGTTACAGGAAACGATAGATTTAAGTTAACATGCACGAGCCAAATCTAGATTTTAGTATTCAGGTTAAATATTAACGTAATACCAATATCTTACATACATGTATCACATACATACAAATACAAAGAACCCGGCAATAAATATTGCACATTAGTATTTGGGTTTTTTTAGACGGGGTTACGGGTCAAGCGCAGTACTCGTAATGTACTGTGGCACCTGCCTATCTTGTAAAAAAATCAATATTGGATATTTTATAATTAGTTTTCATATACAGGGTGTAAAAAGACACTTAACGAAGCCGTTAACTACGCATACTGCAGTTCTAACTTTACTAAGTTAGAACTGCAGTATGCGTTATTGCGCTATTGCGCTTTACGCTAAAATTATCACTGGGAAACGACTTTTATTTTTAGGTATCAAAAAAAATAATAATTTTATTGCGTGCAATGTACCTAGAGCAAACGGGCTTCGTGTCATTGTGTGCGTAGGTTC